CGCCAGCTATGGTCAGCCGTCATTGATTAGTATTAAAATAATCAGACAAATGGAGTGAAAATAAAATATCATAAAACAATTTTTAAAACCTGCTGTCGTGGTAAAATTTTTTTTTTAAATCATCCAAAAAAGGTGAGTAAATGTGAAGATGTCTGCACGTGCAGCTTACCCGGTCAACGGCAGTAGACGTCTGCGGCTGCATGTGCATGCCGGCCACTTGCACCACGTTAGGCGAATAAGGCCTGGCGTACGACACGGAGTGGTGGCCGTTGACCAACGTAAGCTGAACAGCATTGCGGAGTACATCCAGCGGCGGGCAGTTCCGGTGTCCGGGGTACGTGTACAGATCGTCCAGCATCTGCTGATCCGTAGACCGGAAAACTACCTCGGACGCGATCAGCTCGGCGGCAGCGATAACCGAGTTGTACAGCCGTTCGCCGAATGACATTGAGTCGGAGTACCGAAGCCACAACGACGGCACGTACGCGGGATGGTCCGGCACGTCCAGTGTTTGGCTAAGCGTCACTGATGGTGCCATCGGACTCAGGCACACCACCGGAGCGGAATATCTGCTCAGTCATTGTGAAACGTTATTATATTTGCAGGGTGATTAAAAAAGAGCACCAAGTCTTAGATGTTCATTTATGAATATACATATTATATAGGTATTAATAGATGAACCCGATGACATTTTGTGAAATCATTTAAAGAGTAAACAATAAACATKTCCAATTCATATTTGCTGTAGTTGTTTCCTTCTCCCCACYAATGTAACAATAAATAAAATRTGAGGCAAGAAGTAAAAACCCATAAAGATTGGCGCTATTATTTACTGCTCACATCCCGTTTGAATTGCCCATATGATCTATATTATGAAAAAACTGCAAGACATAATTATTACTGTCATTATTATTACCTGTGGCCTACCGCCAGATAAATGTCACTGTACCAGCATTCARTCAAAACAAGATCGAAGACATACCGAGTGTCATTGAGAAACGCACGAGTCTCATTCAGCTCCAGAGTCCGYGTAACCATCTTCATCATAGCTAGCTTGACGTTGATCATATTGGTCACCCGATATAAATGGCGTATTTCCAGTGGATTGCGAATTCTCTGGATTTTCACTGCGCCCACGAAAAAAATTCATATTATATTTT